AAGAGTTGGCGGTGGTTGGTGATGACTAACAGCCTTCCCTCTAGTCTTACTCTGCTAAATTAGGGACGGCTAGCGCAGATAGCTTTCGTGTAGCTTTGCGCGAAATTCAAAAAACAAACAAACAATCGTGACCTGAACGACCAATACGAGTATTTAGCATACCATAATAAATCCACATAAGAAACTTTGGACGAGTGTTAGTTTAATTTTTGAGGAAAACTTAACATCTTTATTCGTTATATATTCAAGTGAGTCAATTTTTTGAATTCTTTTTAACCTTAACATATCGAGTTTTTGTATGGTTATTAAACTTTTACATTTTATTTTTATGTTCATACACTATTTCAAGAATATTTTATGCCTTATACTGTTTGCCATAATACAGAATCGCGCATGACGATGTCGCAAAGTTTTGTCGTGCCTAATATTTTCTCACCATTTGTTTTTCTAGATATTTACAATACTGTAAGATCGAATCCATCTCGTCAGAAGCTTTCAAGGGCTTAGCATCCCTGAGAGAGATGTAAGTATAATGGAATGTGAGTGACTTGTTACACTTCGGTGAAACAAGTAACCACTCACGGACCTGTCGGGAATATTCACTAATAATCATGGCTCAAAAGCGAACAACAACTACATGAAAAAATTAAAATAGGACTTTACTGATAATAATTTAAATTCTGATAAAATGTTTAACTGATTGTATGTTAGGTTGAGAAATAAAGAAGTATGATTCGTTGTGTTGTGGGGTTAGTCTTAATAATACCAACAAATCTATTATTTGGGGGGGTTAGTCTTAATAATAGAAAATAAAATGATCTGTGAGGGTTAGTTAGATTAACATAAAGATATGATCTGTGGGCAATTATTAGAAAAGGCGTGGTGGATTAATTAGTTTGTAAAAAGGTGTAGGTGTGGATAAGTTCAATTACAATAGAATCTGTGGAGCGTGAAAAATGCCAGATGTTTTATTTTCTTTCAAACTTACGCAGGTGAACACTTCATTTTCATCTAAAAGTTTTAAAATACTTCATAGGTCTGCACACGTGGTGTGGGTGGGGTGGGGTTAACAATAGAGGATTGGTCGTGGTATGTAGCTAACTTGCTAGTCCCATAATTACTCATCGTCGTAAGTTAATTCCTGAGATTTTATTCAACAGAAGATGCCACTGGAAGGCTGTGTGATTTAAAATAATGCAGGACTGAATTGAGAATAACTGTGTAGAGGTATGAAAGCACCTGTAGGATATGTCATTCCTATTTTTACTTATGGGGTTACCAATGACGTGGATGGCATTTTTGTGACGTTATTTCGAGATTATCTTTCCTAGAATTCGTCAGAGCAAGAGCTCTCAACTGTTTGAGGACAGTGTTATCTTTGTGCGCTCGTCTTTGACTTATGTTACAAATAAAGATTACTTTTCACTTTATTTTACATTGCGTTGTTTTTCTTCAACCCAGTGAAAGTGGAAGTTCTTCCGTTATTGCGACACTATTCTTACCTGAAAGATAGTCAGTGCACCTGTGAATACTGCAAATAAAGTCTTCAATCCAGTGAAAGTGGAATATAGTCAGTGCACCTGTGAATACTTCAAATAAAGTCTTCAACCCAATGAAAGTGGAAGATAGTCAGTGCACATGTGAATACTTCAAATAAAGTCTTCAACCCAGTGAAAGTGGAAGATAGTCAGTGCACCTGTGAATACTTCAAATAAAGTATTCAACCCAGTGAAAGTGGAAGATAGTCAGTGCACCTGTGACCACTTCAAATAAAGTCTTCAATCTATGGAGTTAGTTAGACAGAAATGATGGTATATGAAGGATTATTTAGATTAACAAAAAAACAACATCGTCTATAGAATATTAGTTAGTAAAAGATATGACATGTAGGGAATTAGTTGGATTAACAGGTATGGTATGATACGTGTGTGGGGAGGATTAGTTAAAGTAAGAAAAAATGGTCCAATGGCGGTTTATTATTTTGAAAAGAAATATTTTCACATGTTCGTACCTCATAATTTTATTAGTGCTCCAAAGCTTATGCAAGCATGTCGAATCAGCATTAAGTTAGAGAAAGTGTCAATTTCCTAAAGTTTGCTTTTTGTCTCTCTTTTGAAGTCAATAACTTGAACATTATTACACCAGATCTTTCCTACTTTTTGTTTGCACAGTAAGCTTAATGAGTGGTTAGTTTACTTGAAGTGAAATATTAATATTAAAGCAATGACATATCGATATTTTCATTAAGACCGTGACAGAAAGTGACAAGTTCAATTTGCTGAAACATGGGTGTGTTTATCGTTTCAGAGTTCTTGCTCATAATAACTTGAAGCACTTCAACGTGGATGTGATGAAAGATATGCCATCTTTAAGCACTCTGTAAGTAGAAAAGATAAAAAAAATTAATTTTCTACCACTATTTGGTTTAATTTTAACAAATTTGATAAACTTCGATCAAATTGATATGTTGATGCTACATGTTGCTTTTTACCAGGACTTGCTATCGCTGTAATATAGAATTAGTCATGGTGTTGCATTAGAAAGTACTAAGGGCGAGATGGGCTTGGCATGACCTAATGGTTAGGGCACTCGACTCGAAATCTGCGGGACGCGAGTTCGAATCCCTTCACTCAACATGCTCGCCTTTTCAGCTGTGGGGCGTTATAATGTGACCGTCAGTCCCACTTTTTCGTTAGTAAAAGAGTAACCAAGAGTTAACGGTGGGTTTTGTTGACAAGCTACCTTACTTCTAGTCTATGTATTTTTAATTAGGTACGGCTAACGCAGAGAGTTCTCGAGCAGCTTTGTGCGAAGTTCCAAAAACAAACAAACAAAAGCGCAATACGCTTTCTGGGCTGAGAGAAAGGTCGGTAAAAAGCGCTACGCAGCATGATAAATCGGTCGTCATACAAAGAGCTGGAACAAACAAATAATAAAGGCAACTTGTACAAACCATATCTTTGTTATATGGTCTTCAGAGAACTATATAAGGTGACATATTATGAAATAGAAGTCGTCACGAGAACACTTGTACACGAGTTTATTCCATACTCCTCAGCTGAGAAGCTGTGGATTACTATAAGCATCGAGCTTCAGAATTTTGTACAATCTCGCAAAACATTCCCAAACTTATAAACAGTAATTTTTCTGTAGAGTTAGAAGAAAACTGAATTAAATCACTGAAAGGAAAAAGGAGTATCGTTTCATCGAAACGTTCACCACACATTTACTCCCCCTTATAGCGACTTTAAGTAATGTGTATTTGTGCGCACTCGTATGTGCGTTTTCAGACTTTATGTCATGCAGCTGTATTTGTTTGATATTCGTGAGAATTTTTAGAAATAAACTTTATACAGGACCTTGCAGTACAAACATAAATACAATCGCAATAAGTGCTTCAGTGTACTTTTATTTGAAAGTTGTATAGATGAAATTAACTGCCAGCCGACTTGAATTGTCCAGAAAACTGTAAACTTCATTAAAATTTCGGCTAAGGGGGAAAACATAGACACTGACGTAATAAAGAAGGTTGCTTTTGAATTTCTTGCAGTAGATTGTGATTTAAATTGTTTTTCCAGTTAACATTTTCTTCATTAAGTTCAGATCTGACTTTGTTGAAATTTAACCTGTTTATTATTTGAGCAGTTTTTAAGAAGTCTGAATTTGTCACTCGGTTTTTTCTTTGAACATCATGAGAGAATATTAGAGCAACCCAGAAAATAGCATTACTTTGACATGATTACTGAAAGTAGTTTTAAAAGCACTGAATTAATTTGAAATATTTTCCATGTTTTGCTTAGACAAGAATTTTAAGTCATTAGGGTGAATATCTGTTCTCAAACTAGTTTTACAGAAAGGGTAAATTTAAACCGCCCACAAACAGGCATTGCTTATATGTTTTGGATCTAAATGATGCCATTTTTTTTCACATTCCTGACATCAGTAATTTGTCATGTATAAATAACACAGGCGTTTAGCCAGCCATACAGGCAGATAGAACACACTATGCACATACATGAAACGAGCTCTATTTTATCGTTAAACCAGAGGGTATTTACATAGTTCACTCAGTTTACAAAGAATTTGATGGTTTTCTTATTGGGACAATTCTAAGATGATGTTTTTAATTTCTACAAAGGTAAATAGTGGTTTTTTTCAAACAGCTTGGACAAGCACTCAATACCAAAGAGACATTATGTTTCATTATTTGACACTTCTAGAGCCAGAACCAAAGCAAAGCTTGGCAGCAGGAATCATAATCTCACATATTTTAAAATTATAGCCTCTACTCATGGCTACAGAATGTTTCGAAAACATGAAAATAAGGCGTAAATTTAACTATAGTAAAAGACAAGTGCTTGTGTACAAATATGAACTAAAATCAACATAGCTTTAAACGTGTACAATAGTATATTTTTAAAAAAATGGCACCAAGATAACTCTCACACGTTTCGGCGGTCGTATTACACCGTTATTAACAGAACAATTTTCCCAAAATAAAAAAACAAACAATAATTTACCTTTCGTGACCTCTAACATTGACATTGCCACTAGCCAGTGCACCATTACAACTCAATCTCTATAACTCGACTGATATTAAAAATAAAATCTCGACAAAACTATAAAAATTATCCAGTGTGAAGATTCTAAAGCAACAACTTTCATCACAATCAATTTTAGCACCTTAGAATATGAAAATGTCATGAACTTCAAAATGTAGGAGACGATTAAAGCAAAAAACTACAAACTTAATGAAATACGTTTTTATTATAAGAAAAGACGGTTATAATTCTTGCAAGAAGGAGAAAGCTTATCGTTAAAATGTGTGCACGATCTTTCCCAGGGAAAATTTGTTAATCCACTTATAAAAGTGCAGAATTTTGTTATGCGCTTTAAATTCCTAAAAGTCAGTAAAAAATAAAATCCCCGTGATTAGGATAAACCTCTATACAATATATCAAGATTTTGCCTCGTAGATCAGTAAATCTTTGAATTATGTTTTAATATTATGAAAAAGTTTCCTTCAGATATTCATGCAAAGCTAAACAAGGGCTATCTGCGCTAGCTGTTCTTAATTTTGAACTGACAGAAGAAAAGCAGCTATTCAACAGCATTGGTCGCCAACTCTTGGGCTAATCTAATCGAATAATGGTATCTGACCGTCACTCTTTTAACGCAACCATGGCAGGAAAGTGCGGAGCCAAGATTTTACGAAGACGAGATACGAATCATGGGCCATCGGGATCACAGTTAATCACGCTATCTAGACCCACCCGATTCTTATAAAAGTATAGAAATAAATAAAGCTTAAGAAATATATATTTTCTGAAACCCTAATATTTACTTATTACTAATTTAGTACGCTTTGAAGTTCGAGTTGTAAAATGAAAAATAATAATATATTTGACCCGAACGTTATTAAATCCTGGATACATCTCACATTAACTTCTCTACTGAACAAATATATAAAGAAGTGGGGTTGGGCGTAGTCGAGAAGTTAGCGTGCCCTAACTGTGAATCCGAGAGTTTACGGCTAGAGACCTGTTGCCATAAAATCACAGCCCACACTTTGGAGCCATCGGTGCGTTATTCGGTCATAAAAGAGTAGCAAAAGAGTTGGCGGTGAGTGCTGTTCACTAGCTGTTTTTCTCTAGTCTATTATTTTAAAATTAGTGACAGCTATGTTTATCTTTGCGGGAAAATTCTGAAGCATACCAGCTAAAGAAGAGAAAAGTGAGAACGAGCGAGTTCAGATTTACACGTTAATCAATTTAGTTATGTCAGTTTTTATTTCATTGATAACTAGAGGGGCACTCTGTAGAGCGTATATTTCCACGACTCAGCGTTGATCATATTTGGCTCTCAAAAAAATACGAAAATGTGTCCGTATGTCCGTCGTTAACAACGGACACGAACCATTTTTATCAGAACAATGAGGAATAATATTCTACATATTTCCAAACAAATGTAATCAAAATCCGATCGTTTTGACTGAGTTATAGCGCAAAAATAGTGTCAAAAATCGGTTCCCATGTTAACAAATAGGGATTTTTATTTTATTTTAGTGACCTTGAACTTTGACCTAGTCATTTCTAAGTTGGGCCATAGTCTAAACGTATACCAATTTTCGTCCAAATCCATTTAGCCGTTTTCAAGAAATCTTGCTGACAAACGTACCAACAAACCCACACATACACAGGGGTGAAAACCGTCAACCTTCAGATGGAGTTCTTCACAGCTCAATTTTCATTTCTGCAGAAAAAAACAAAACAAAAACTTTGAACTCACAGAACGGTATGTCAACTTTCAAAATGTCTAGAGTTAAACTAACTTCTTTGTAGATCGAATTACTAGAAGATTTAGTTGTTACTAAGGGAGGATTTTACTCCCTCCTCAATCGATAATTACTCGTAACAAATGTATCTTAACGAACGCACTTTAAGGTTTCTATAGCAAATGTCAAAGAACTCAATGGTTCTTAACAGAACCGATGTCTCCATTAGTCAGATTTATTACGTTCTTTTCAATGACATTTGTAGACGCTCCTGCCCTTTATTCACATTCCTGAAGAAATATTCGAAGCTTTTTAATTCCAACGGGTAAATGAATTTCTTTAGGGTTTTTTCTTCAGATTTTCTCTGTGGTTGATCTAGCTGTTTAATGCTGGTATTTTCAATCCTACTTCCCTGTATTTTTACACATTTATAAATTATTTATAAAATTAATAAAAGTAGTTAAGTTGAAAAATGAAATATCATACACAAGTACAATATAACCAGACGACTAGTTATGTAGTTTCAGGATATCGAAACTTCTACTACTTTTTCAGTTAACTTGCCATAGATTAATAGACGTGCAACGATTGGCATTTCGAAGTTTTTATTCCCCAGAAAAACTGTATATTTTGAATGAATAGCTGTTGTAAGCAGAACACGTAAACATGTAAGTTTATTTTACACCCTTATGAGGTTTGTTATTTGCTCTTTAGTAAGGTCTTGCTTAGCTTGGTGAGTATCATAAATAATGCTGTTGTTATGGGGATTCACGTGAAGTTTTAAAACCAACTGAAATAATTTCGCTTAATAAATATAAACACGTTTATATAGGGGTGTATGTGTTTGTGTGATACCAGCATGCACATATCTATGCAAAATACTTACCTGAGCGGTTACATCGCGTTTATTTCCAACCAAAACATCTAAGTATGTACGTTCACGTCTCAAATAAAGTGGATTTAATCTAACAGTCTCTTTCTAAGTGAGTTAAAAAGTGGATTATATTTGACAAACCCTGTCCGAGTGAGTCAAGCATACAAGCGTTTTCAAGAATACAACAGTATTCCTAATTACATATTTGTATCCAAAGTGTAAGAGACGAGCGTTGTAGAGTGAGCAGCGTACCACATTGTGGGTCTGTAGGTCCAGCATCCCGTGACCACAAAAAAACTATATGTATACAGTAGTGGAAAAGTTATTGCATCACCCAATTTCTTTCACACTTTTCTTGGTTCCTGTAATTCTTTATGAAATTGTGCATTGTGGAAGTGTGAGAACTTGTGTTATGGACATTGTATGGTGTACGCTGACTTATATTTCAGTCATCCAAACACATATATACATCTTTATTAACAAACCAACGGTGACAAACATATTACAGCAGATGATCAACAAATACGATAAGGTTCTCTTCGTAAGAAAACCTAGGTTTCAAGATAACACCATTAATGTGATTGACAAAAAGTGGTCACAGAGTCTGCTTCATATTTTAACATTTGATTGTGCCCCCTCTGGCCTTGATAACTGTTTGATATCGCCATTTGCACCTATATTCAATAGAGCCTCAAAACAGACGATGATTCTGAATAAAAGTGTGAAAAAATTGGGTGATGCCATAAATTTTTCCATCTTTGTATATGGCGCTCAGAATTTTGAGGCCGTGAGTGCATTGTAAGAGTGACGGTCTAATCACGCTATTCGGTCAGACAAGAAAAGTCCTAAAAGTGAAGGATGGCGTTGATTATCTGCCTTCCCTCTAGTCTGTCGGCTAAAAATTAGGAACGGTTAGTGTAAATAGCCCTTGAGTAACTTTGCGTAATTATCCGAAAACAAGAATAAAGGAACACACAAAGCCTAAAAGTGCCCTTAGATACCCAAATTGATTCACTTATGATTACAAGTTGTTTAAATTTTTTAAGTCTTACACACTTTTAATAGTTCGAGACGCTATTATAAAATCAGCTTATTATACCTTCTATAACTCAAATAAAGTCATTAGAGAACTATAACATTTTGTAGTTTAGCTACGGAAATACTGAGGAATGTGTATCTATGGAGCGTCAATAATAACTGTCACTAAGGGGCGCTAATTGGTAAGTTTACAAGACGGAGACTATAAAATCTAGCACCAAATATACCAAGTGTCATTCTGAACTACTGATCTGCCTTGGAATATACTGTAAAGCCTACATTTCAGATTAGAGGAGTTCTATATGTGAAATAGTCTTTATGCAAGATTTTGCTCCATATTTCATTACACTGACTACCATGAATTGATAGGATGTGCTTCAGGGGTCAGCAGACATTCACCATACACATAGCAAACATGATCTCACCTCTTCTCAGTTGTAGTTCTGGGATCATATCTGGTGGTTTGGTGTATCATGCCACGATCATTACACTGACAGACCTAAAGGATTGCGTATAACATCAATTAGAACTGTTGGAAGAAGGATATTACGTTCAGTTGTGGATCAAGTTATCTCATGGTTATTATGTCGAACACTGTTAACATATTAGATGTGCAAATTTCACGCTTAGCATCCCCCCCCCCCGGTCTGGTGAGTTATTGTTGGCATTGTCAATTGCTTTTTCAGTCGTCTTCAAAAGTTATAGTTCTCTGTTGATTAGCTTTGGAGTTATGGACGTTAATATAGGACAACTAACTTGTTAATAACCCTATACATAAAGGAAACATTTAAAACAAGACGAACATTAGCAAAAGCTCTACATTAAAATTTGTTTTGTGTGGGACTCGTGAAGTTTTGCTAACGAATCAGTGTGTTCTGTCATGACAAACAGTGACAGTCGGGTCAAGTTAGTTTGTTGGCAGTGTTTTATTAGTTTTATTCCTCAACAACCAAAAGTCGACGTTCGTCAACAGTGGTAAGTTGGGCTTAGTTTACAGCTAACAGGTGAACTGACGTGTCATATTTCAATCCGTATTGAAGTATTATTTCAATACTGCATCACGTAGACATCCTTCTGACCAAAAGTTTTGTGAGAGAATCAGTGAAGATCTTCATTAATATACAGCTATTAAATAACAGAATAAAGATATTGTTCTTATCTAGTTGTGGCTTTAAACAGAAATAATTTGTTCAAAGTGTTTACAAAGCGATATTGACTAAGAAAAACACTTCCTCCATACACATGACACATCACTTGACGCGCCTCAGAGACTTTCAGAACGTGTTTTTAAAGAACTGGATAATGTTCTCATTATGTAAATATATCATAACGTATCTCAATTTTATGTTATTTGTTGTAGATATTTTAGATTTTTTCGAGTATTGAATATATTTTTCTTATAAAACAAGAAAGACCTTGTGGTTATTTCAAAAACTGTCATCATTGGTAGGAAGTTAAGTTCTGACACAACCTTTAAGTTTTGAAGAAACCAATACACAATCTCAGATCTACTTAGTATTGGTATTTTCAACCTGAACTGCACCTTTCAATACACTTGGGCTAAACGGCCAGATCAGAGATCTCCTAAGTTTCATGTATAGCCACTCCTAACTTAGAAGTGTTGACAAGCGGGAGGGCAACCAGACAACAGCACCCGCTGCCTACACAGCTACTCTTAACCGCATAATTGGGTTGACTGTCACATTTATAACGGCCCAATAGCTGAAAGTGAGGCATCTCGTGGCTCGAGCCTTGGACTTTCCAATCCGACGCCCGGCTAATCTGTTTTGAAAAATCATGTTTGATCATTTAAGTAAAACATATCATGCATGTTATGTTGCTATAGAACAAATGTTTTGTATTTGAAATATGATAAACAAATTACGTAGTAGGGTAAAGTGTGGTAAGTTGGCCACGTTAACTCTGAATACAATTTCACCATATAAAATGATTGTCATGAAAAAAACAAAAGATTGTAAAATGATCTCGTTGTTATAAAAATTGTCATTTTTAGCTAAAACAAAGATTAACATAAACCTTTTTCTATATATTGAAATAATTCACTTTTTGTATTTGAGAGTTATTTTACCTATAAGATTAAATAAAACAAACTCGCCCTCCAATAGCTTAACGGTAAGTCTGGAGGCTTATAACGCTAAAAACCGGGTTTCGATACCCGTTGTAAGCACATACAGCACAAATAGCCCATTGTGTAGCTTTTTGCTTTATAACAAGTAAACAAAACAGACCAAAAGGACCCTCGTTTAACTCGTATGAAACGCAATTTAAAATAAATGTTGCATTTAGCAACTGTATTCAAATTCCTTAAAACATAATTTAAATTCTTCCAGCCAGGATCAGGAAAGCCATACGCTATGCACATTATCAAGATCAATGATGAAGAAGAACGTAAATATTAAACATGAATAGAAAATTTACATGGGTACTGTGTTGGGGCGTTTTACCCTTGCCACTAATTGTAAAACAATTACACGTTATAAAAAATCAGTAAACATGAACTGTGTAAAATTCACTGAAATATCAACTTTGTAACCATAATAAATTCAAATTTCTTTCCTTAGATCAAAGTTGTTCAAAAATAAAAAAGTTACGCTTTGATTATTCACTTTCGCACCTGTTCACCAGTGTGTTTATGCTGGAGTTACATATAATAACAATTATTATATATATAACAATAGTTACATATAATTCCCTTAGATGGCAGCACGTTGAAATAAAGATATACAGAGATTTTACCGAAAGGGACCAACTTTACTTTATTCCCTACTAAACGCCCCCAAGTGGCACAGCGGTATGTCTGCGGACTTACAACGCTAGAAACCGGGTTTTGATACCCGTGGTGGGCAGAGCACACATAGCCCATTGTGTAGCTTTATGCTTAACTTCAAACAAACAAACCCTACTAAAGTTTTTAGGTATTCCAGATGCAATAGCTAATATTCTGTATATCATATTTATTCACTATATTTGTCACACTTCTTCAAATCAAACTTCAGTGACTTAACAAGTACAAGCTACCTGATGCTAACGGTTGATCTTTGGTTTAACAAATAAAAAATATTATTTACCACTACTTCGCCCCTGTGTATGGATCTTCACCGAATTTGGTATGGAGGTTCATTGGGGTCTATGGGAAGATACATACAAATTATCAGTTTTGCATATTGCGGTTTTATGGACTTTTGTGGGTGTGTTTATTTTGCCACTACTTCGTCCTTGTTGATGGATCTTCACCATGAAGGTTTGTTGGGTCCATGCGGAGATACATGCACATTTGCGGTTTCACATTTTATGTTTTGCAGTTTTATGGGCGTTTTTGCGTTTGTTTACAATTACATATATAAAAGAAGCTTTTCATGTCCTAAGATAACCTTTTATTAATCATTAATTTACATAACTTCCGTCAAGGGGACGGGTACTCCAGCTAGTATATATATATATAAGAAGACTTGTCAGTCTTTAACTTTTTATTGTTTTAAATAGCTGAAGAGTAACTTGTATGAACACGTTGTGCACTAATACATGTATGTTACTGACTGGCTAAAATTAAGGTTTGAACGGCAACACTAAATGAAAAACATCAAAATTGGACGCTATTTGATAATTTTGTAATTATTACAAGGTATCATATATTCAACCAATATTGGCATTGAATATTATTGGAGAACTGACCACAGAAAGCATATGTGACTCATTAATATAGTTATAATCTGTTTGTGTAAACCTTCGTATTTGTACCTAAAATCTCTTAAGCCTAGATTATTTATATGATTATTTATGAAGTATCTGTTTTTGTTTTCTCTTTAGGGATTTGTCACAAAATAAACTAACATTAGAGGACGTTTCGTGGCCTGAAGGTCTTCAACTCAAGTGGCTGTAAGCTACAGTGACGTTGTTTCTATTTTGATAATACTAACAATATACAAAATTGAACTAAACTGTGAAAACATAAGAAAAAATCTATAAATCATTTCCAACTTTTTCTCTACTAAGTTAGTGCTTTAGCCATAATGAAAATATAAAGAAAATTATTCCTTAATTTCTTTAACATAAACATATTTAAATATTTTCACAATTTTAAGAAGTCTAACAAATATTAAACTACGGTTTGGTAACTGCACAAAATATTAAACTTTGGTGTAGTAACTGCACAAAATATTAAACTATGATGTGGTTACTGTACCAGATACGAAACTATGATGTGGTAACTGTACCAGATATTAAACTATGATGTAGTTACTGTACCAGATATTAAACTATGATGTAGTTACTGTACCAGATATTAAACTATGATGTAGTTACTGTACCAGATATTAAACTATGATGTAGTTCTGTACCAGACATGAACCTACGATGTGATTACTGTACCTGACTATGACGTGGTAACTATACAGATTTGAATACGATAATCGGTTCCAAGGATGACCATTTTGTGACATTTGTTTTAGTCCAACATGAATATGGTAATTGACTTTAAAGCTAGTAAATTTCTGTCATTCGTTTCACTCCAAACTGAATACCATAATCGACCCTAAAGGTTTTGATTTTCTGACAAATGTTTCACTCCAACTTCAATACGGTGATCTACTCTAAAGATGGTAATTGTTTGACATAAGTTTCACTCCGACTAGAATACGGTGATCTACTCTAAAGATGGTAATTGTTTGACATAAGTTTCACTCCAACTTGAATACGGTGATCCTCTAAAGATGGTAATTGTTTGACATAAGTTTCACTCAGACTTGAATATAATAATGAACTTTAAAAAATAATAATTTTAATATGTGTTTCACTGGGATTGTTTTATAAAACAGATATATTTGTTGTTCTTCAGTTTTCTTGAAGATAACCACATCGCTACCATTGAGAAGAATACATTTGCGTCACTTACCTCTTTGAAAGTTTTGTAAGTAACTCAAAATTATTTGTCAACAAATTGTCTTCATCATTCATCAACTAAGATTGTCAAGTCAATATAATTCAAGAAAAGTAACTAATTGTTAGAATTTTACTGATCCCCATTTCGTCTGTTTTCTTTTACATTATCTCAGTGTACATTGTTGTTGATGTTTTAGTACAGAGCTACACAATGGGCTATCTGCATCTCGGTGTGCGTCTAATTGAATAGTTTGTTTTCTCATCCGTCAAAAGATTATACAATCAACTCTGTAGATTGTGTTTTCTTTTTCTCATGCCACCGAGGGGGGGGGGGGATAAACGGTAAGTTTATGGGCTTGTAACACTAAAGTTCGGGTTTAGATCTTCGCAGTGGTAACAACGCACGTAGCTTATTGGGAATCTTTGTGCTTAATAAACAAAACGAACAAATTACAGCTCATAATTTTGAATAACGTACATTATTCTGTGCTGTAGTTAGTATGATAATTAGAGAAGTAATAGTCAATCGAATGAAGTAAAACAATGATGGTACTTAAGGAGATATGAAGTTATGGCGTGGTGGTAACTGTACCATTCATTAAAATACGGTTTACCATCTGTAGTAAACATTTACTTATGATGTGGTAGTTTACAAGATATCAACCTATGACGTGATAAAATTCTACCGGATATTAAAGTATGATGTGTTAACAGTAGCAGTTATTAGACTATGACGTGGTAATTGTAGCAAATATTAACCTATGACGTGATAAAATTCTACCGGATATTAAAGTATGATGTGTTAACAGTAGCAGTTATTAGACTATGACGTGGTAATTGTAGCAAATATTAGACTATGACGTGGTAACTGTAACGGATATTAAACTATAACGTGAAAACTGTAATATATTTTAAACTCTATCAATGTTATTGTGCCATTGAGAGGAAATTATCTCATAACATGCGCAATTTCTAAAACTAACGAGCTAATTTTTTTAATACTTAAATTTGAAATACCGTTTATATTTTAAACGTATTTCAGTTATAATTTCAATGTGTTAATTTTATGCTAAGTTGTTATATATGTGTGTGTGTGTGTGTACAAAAGCGGTCAAATTTAATAAAGACATTATTTTTGTTGACTGAAATATAAATCGAACATTACTTAGGTGGTTTTCTTCTGTTATTATCACCTCCATTTTGAGACTATGCAGCAACTCAATGTTTTTTTTTCATGGCATCTTTGGGCATTTGTGTTTGTCTTGTTTATTCAGTTCCACATTGATACATATAATTAACAATTTTTCGTTGTAACAATTCAAACAAGTTTTCTCTTTTTTAGGTTGCTTAAACAAACCATGAATGTTAATATTGAGCGTCACTTTTGATGTTTCGCTTTTGGTTTAATCAAAGGCTACTAACTACGATTGAGTATAATTATATTTTATTATGTGGTGTTCAACTTATATTCCAAGGCTACTCTACAACAACTGAGTGTTATAACTTTGTTATTTTCGTACTTCTTGTAATCCAAGGCTACTACACAATATCCGAGTGTTATAACTTTGTTATTTTCGTACTTCTTTTAATCCAAGGCTACTACACAATATCCGAGTGTTATAACTTTGTTATTTTCGTACTTCTTGTAATCCAAGGCTACTACACAATATCCGAGTGTTATAACTTTGTTATTTTCGTACTTCTTGTAATCCAAGGCTACTACACAATATCCGAGTGTTATAACTTTGTTATTTTCGCACTACTTCTTTTAATTCAAGGCTACTACACAACAACCAAGTGTCATCCATCCACAGGGAAGCGTTTCATCAACTGACAGAACTCATTGAAGTGTGAGTATCTTTTTATTTACTGTTACAATAAATTTCTTTATCATTTCTGGGAGAATTTTTATTTGATTTCATAAATCGCTTTTCACTATCCACCTCTCTCAGCAATAACAGAACATTGCTAATTGGTTTAATACTGCTTTATTACTAAAACTGACATGAATGTCTGCTTTTTGTTAAGGACTTCAGTGATATTAAACAACCTTGAATTTAACTTAAGGCAGCATCAATGCTTCAAACCTTATTTTCGTCTCAAAAAATTGAGGCCTTTTATGCTGCTAAGCTTTTAGTAGCCTTTGTTGTTGTTTTTCTACTGTATCCTGATTAGATGTTTACTGTGTTATTGCTTTTTGATTTATAGTTTTAAGAGCCATTTTCCCTTTATACTGTTACAATTTTTATAACATTTTGCTCAATTCCCATAACCACAGCCATTCATTAGCTCTCGTAAATATTTTTAAATCTGTTTTTAAACACCTTTTGAAGTAACTTCAGCTTCAACTATCTTTCATACTAATAACTCGTCTATCAACAATTTATGATTAAAATGTGGTCGCTACTTAACTAAGTTACAAAATTCAGGGGATTATGTTATATCTACGTTTATATTTAAAACAATAATATTGTTAATTTTCAGAGACAATGATTTTCTCATTTACTATTATTGTTTGTAAATTTAATAATTTTGTATGCTGTGATATTAGTTTCCCTTCAGTTCATGGCTTCCAACAATTGTACATTCATTTATTTTCACGTGATCTACTTTGGCTTTATTACTCAAGGTGTTATTGGAGACTTTGCTACGTAGTTAATTACTTTGAATTGCTTGGGTTGTTTTCAGAAACTTATCAAACAACAAGATACATAATTTCCCTTCTCAAGTCTTCTACAACATGTGCGCACTGGCCAAGCTGTAAGTATTTACCAATAGCTAAATTTATATTTGAAAGATGAGTATTATACAATTGCTACTTTTTCTATAATATTTCTTTATTAGTTAGAAATAAATTTAACATCTTATGTCTTGCCTTAATTCTGTTAATTGTCTGTTGTACATTGTAATGTTAGGACATCGGGGGCCACGTGACGCTTGTATCACGCCACTTCCTTCTCGAACCTTCATGAAATGTCGGGAGACTACTGGATTGGGGTAGTCTTGTATATATAAGACCGGCCAAGAAGCAACGTAGGGAAAAA